GTAAACGACTGATTGACAGTACGATCAGTGCATTCAAACGGTTGGATATTTTGGTGAATAACGCGGGCAGAGGTATGAGCTGTCCGATCACTGATACGGCTATTCTCGACAAATACCAGGAAGTGATGGACACAAACCTGCGTTCAATCGTCTATTTAACACATCTATCGGTCGAACACTTGGAGAAAACTAAAGGAAATATAATTAATATGTCGAGTGTTGCGGGACTTAAACCGGTAAGTGATCTGCGATTGAGTTTACATTAATATATTAAATTAATAAACTAATTATACATAACATTTAATACAAAAACAGTCGGCCGAACGGTATTTATACTGTATGTCAAAGTGTGCACTCGATATGTTCACCAAATGTCTAGCGCTAGAGTTGGGCCCCAAAGGGATTCGCGTTAATGCTATTAAGTAATCAATTATTACTTTGATTACAATAATTATTTAATAATAATTAATATATTGTGTCTATTATATAGTCCGGCCTCCGTTAAAACTAATCTCATTAAAGTCGGTGGCTTAACGAAAGAGCAATTGGAGGCCCGATATAGTGAAAGGGGTGGCAAATACCCGGTCGGACGGGTCGGTGAGTCCATAGACATCGCGAACGCCATACTCTTCTTGGCCTCAGACGAGGCCTCGTTTGTGACGGGAATCAACTTTGCGTCCGACGGCGGGGTTCTTCACGCGCCCTATTAGTGTCTGTTAGTGTCCATAGTTATCACTAATACATATTTGTAATTATTGTTTTGCATTTATTGTTATAATATTATATAAAACTTAATTTTTACAATAAAAATGTTTCAATTATCGTTTATAACAACTAAAACCCTTTAGATTTCGCAGAATTTGGCAAATAATAAAACTATTTTTGACAACATTTAAAATGCATTAAAAATAATATACAATACATACTGACTGTACATATCCTGGATATACTATACATAAAAACACAATATTTTATTTTGCCGGATATTTAATTAATGTATTTAAACCCTGGTATAAACATTCTAGGTTCCTGTTTAGCTCCAATTTGTATCATTCAATCAGTAAATAAATATTATAAACATTAACATTAATGTTTGAAAAACATTAACATTTGTGTAAAAATTAAAATTTTTTATTTTGTAATATTAATTGCAGTCAAAGAATATTCTGTTTGTAATTATTCTGTTGGGAAAAATGAATATCCATTTGTTGGCCACATGTGTGGCGGCGATAATGATCATCGGGTCGGGTGTCGTGGCATCTGCTAAACGAGGTATTTATCAAATGAGTCGACTATTAACCAAACTTAAGACCTGATTATCATTAACTTGTGGTACAGAATCGGATCCACAGAATCGGCAACAAGTGAGCCCGTCAGGTGCCCTGTATTGCGGCGAATCGGCGTTCAGTTGCCGTCAAAAGTACGGCAAAATAGCCAAATGCAAGAAACTGTTTGACGATTGCATGGAAATAGCAAATCGTGTCTATAATGAGGGGCAGAGCATTGCCGGCCCCGCCATTGTCCGGCCCTCGAGGCTCCGGCCATCAACAGTGGACCCCAAGCGCCAAAACCTCAAGCGTTAGCGCTTAGCGTTAACGAACGCTTAGTGTCTAACCATTTATCGTTGTTTTATTGTTTTAATTATTTACAATCATGTTTATCTAAATTGTATTTATTTTTATTATTTATAATAATAATTATATCATTTAATTATACGTTGAATTAAAAACGGACACAAACTTTACAAATAATTTAAAACTACTGCTATTTATATAAAGTATAGGATTGGGAGGAGAGGGAGAAGTGGGGGCGAAGAGACAGTAATAATTATCTCATAATTTAATAAATGGTGTAATTATGCAATCAATCACTTCTTCGTCTTGGCGTCGAGTTTGTCGACCTCTTCCTTGAGTGCCTTCAGCTCTTCGAGCCGTTGTCTCAGTTGTCTGGTGTCAGCGCCGAGACGCTCGTGCTCTACGATCGACGACTCGATGAGCGGCACTTCCAGGTGTGGAACCATTTCAAACAGATTGCGAGACATCTTGTCGTCGATGTCGTTCGACTCGCGAAGAATGCCGAAGTAGATCAGGAATATGGACATCGATGTCATCAGTATATGGCGCTGATATGGCGGCACTTCATCCACCTCTTCGTCCGACCCTAGAGTGCGGTTAAGTAATGCATTTAGAGA